GAGAGGGTGGGAGAGGAGAGGCGGAAAGAGAGTCGGGGGGGCTGGGTTGCGAGAGCAGAGCGGAGTGGGGCAGGGCTTGGATGTTGGGATAGAAGGGGGCGAAGTGGGGCAGGATAGATCGGGAGGCGGGACGTCTTTCGCCAGATGAAATTCCCAGCGCATTCGTATCATCGTTTCAGAGAAGCATGGCTGCAGGTCGCCCAAGATTCAAATGCTTTAACGATACGCCCCACAACGTTGCTGCCTCTGTCTCGTGAAACATGGGTGAAAAGTCTTTGATGCAGCAACGATTGATCAATTATTCGGAAAGGCACTACGTCGTATCAGAGTTTTACTCATTGCAAACAGTATATAACTCGTTTCTCTGTTAATTTAGCATTTAATTCCCAGTATAATAATACAAAATAACTATTATGCGTTTATTTCAAAACGTGTTTTTACCTTTATTTTTAATTTGCTTTAAAGTACCTAAATTGTTCGGATTTTGAAAAACGTATTTTCAAAGAATAGTAGATAAATATGCCCAAGTTAAATCGATTTGTTTTTACCGACACTTCGATTTTGTAAACGAATAGAATTTGGGCCTGTTGTATAATTCACAGGGCTCACGAAAGGTAGCAGACGATGCTCAGTACACCGGGCCAGCTCTATTTTGGGAATAATCAATACGTTGTCTGACCCCTTTTACAAATCCTTCATTACAGGTTATCTGGATTCTGAATGCATAATGGCTGCGTAGCACAATTTGCGCAATTGAATACCCTTTCTCTTTGTGTCATGATCACACACAGATAAATACGATCCACGCGAGTGGAAGGGAATATCTAACTATTTTCCCAGAGAGCGATAAGCGGTTGCCCGTCCATGCGACGTGATGTGGAGAGATTGAGACTGGAGTTGGTGAGTGTACATACTGACCCGAATAAAATACTACATGTCTACCTCCATATTATTCCCTTCCAAACCCTCATTCTATTACTCTTTGAAATTATCTGATAAATCCCCTTACTTTGCGAATATGTTACGTACTTTCAATTCAAATTGTTCACTCCTAAATAAAATTCCTCATGAATTGTAGATTTATTAATGGATAATTAATGGATTAATTAATAAAGATAATGATAAATATAAATAAATTATAAACAATAAAATAAAGCATTGCTGAATACGAAATGAAATTTCAATAAAACATGGACATATTGTTTAGTTATACTTACTGTAAGTTATATTTACATTGTCTAGATTTATCGAAAGAAGGTAAATATATCTGATGTCATATTAAGGCAAGAATAAAAATAGCCCAGTGAAATTAGACCAAACGAGTGAAAAAAATGCCGGAGTTTTGAAACTTAATACGATTGTTTGTTGGTATGTATTGTAGGTTATACTAAAAATCCTGAAGTGTGGCGGTTGATTTGAAGGGAGGTATTGAATGGCGTGTTTCTACGATTTTTGCATATAACTCTAACGAAACTAACTAACGAACTAACGAAACGAAACGAACTCTAACGAAACTAACTAACGAAACATATATTATACAAAATTAAAGAGGCAAACTTTACCCAAAATCTTTTACAATGTTTTGTCGTGAAAATTATGCAAAAAAACTAGAAAAAAAACACCTTTCGTCGTCCCCTCCTACCTCCGGCTCCCCCCCCCCCATCACTACACAAGGTATATGGCAATATGCCGTATGAACTAATAAACAATCATGCCAAGTTTCAAAACTGGATTTTTTTCCATCGATCACCAATTTTTGGCTTAACTTGACGGGACAATAATGGTAATTGTTATTAATTCATTAGTAGGTAAACAGCAAATAACAGACGCAGTTGAAGTTTTTACTGAGATTTATAACCATCCCTTGATTTATCTCGTGTGCTTTTCAATACTTTCCGTGTGCTTTCCAATTTAACTAAGAAATTCTATTTTAGAAGACTTGTAATTAGACGCCGTCTTTAGCCTCAACTCATTTGTTTCAACTGTTGCTAACGGACGGCGAACTGTTAACAGGCGGACATGTTTAACCGAGAGCCGGACGCTAGAAGTGGCTTTTCATTGCTCTGTTTGAGTTGTGTGATTTTATAACACTACTGTATTACAAAAAAAATA